ACCGCATTACAATAAATCAAACTCCTACGTGATCTCAATAAAACTCTTGAGATACAATCGGGTGGTCAAATAGAGTGACGCAAATGACCAGGTGCTCATACAAATGTTTCCGGTAATGTCTACTGTACGTGCAAACTCGCGAATTTGACTGTTATAACCTCTTACACTTTATGCCGTAGATAAGATCTGGCGGCGCAAGAAAGAATTGCTTCCAAGCTTGGTAGCTCCAGCGTGTTCGAAATAATAATTAAATAATTTTTATTTTTGAATGTTGCTGTGAATGATAAAAACTTTTTAACAAAAAAATAAAAACCGACTTCAAACAAAAGCACTAAAAAGTAAAAAATAACTAATTGGTAGTTTTCATTTACTATACATACCTAATCAAATATTTTCGAAGTCGGTGTGCTTTGCTTTGTATGGGCTGGCACCGATTTCGAAAATATTTGATTAGGTATGTATTTAATAGGTAGGCTTTAATTACTTAGCCAAAGCACACCGACTTCGAAAATATTTGATTAGGTATGTATAGTCAATGAAAACTACCAATCAGTTATTTTTTACTTTTTAGTGCTTTTGTTTGAAGTCGGTTTTTATTTTTTTGTTAAAAAGTTTTTATTTTTCCCTTTTTAGTGTAGACAGTAGTAGCAAAGTAAGGATTCTAACGTGTTAGGCTTGTCAAATCAAACAAAATAAGCCCAAACTCAAAGTATCTACTATTAGCCGTTGAAGAGTTCCACCTATCCACCTTCTGGCCTTGCCATCAGATCAGGTCAACAACACCGAACCACTGTACTATCAACGGAAATAGAAATACTTGCAAAGTTTCAAGCCAATATGACAATTAGAAGTAGGTTAAATTATTAGTTGTTTTTCCACCCTTAGGGGTGGTATTTTTTTTTGAAATTTAAATGGGACCAATCTGGACGTATATCCTTTCAAACAAAACAAAAATTGTCCAAATCGGTTAATAAATGACGGAGTTCTGAGGTAACAAACATAAAAAAAATATACAGTCGAATTGAGAACCTCCTCCTTTTTGAAGTCGGTTGAAAATTCGTCATAATGTTGTGTCGAAATTAGGTATTATTTGCTGCCCAATACAAACTTTCGTTCCTATTTTCACCCCCTTAAGGGATGATTTTCGGGATAAAAAGTCCTACGTCTTTCCCAGGGTCTCAAACTATCTTTTTACCAAATTTCATCTAAATCGGTTCAGTAGATCCAGATATCCCCTATAACCTCACAAACTCACAAACTTTACATCTTTATAGTATAGAAATAGAAAAGTCGCAAAAAATATTTCGAACTTTTGCACCAATGCTTACCTGTAAGTCCAATTATCAGATAAATCTTAAGGCCTAGTGATTTTGTCTACAATATCCGTCTTTTGTTTTGTATTGTAGTAATACACACAGTGTGAACTGGCTACTTTTATGGATTTTTAATAGACATTTCTGTCCTGAAGTTATGAAACTAAATGAATATCATGTGTAGGTGCCTTTTGTATTAATATTATACAAGTAGCTTCGATTCTTAAACCCTATAAGGAGTGGAGATATTAATTTTCATGTTTTTTACTTTTAAAATAACGTAATACCAAAAAAAATGATGTATTGTGTATGTATACATCAACCCCCCTTTTTATCCCCAGAAGATGTAGTTTGAATTAGAATAGACATAATTTTTAATCAGAAAGATTATTCGTAGGTTTAGGCACTTACTATAAATCTAGTGGATTTTTCAACCCCCTCTTAAATCTCTTTGTTACCCCGTTATAGGATGGATTTTCAAATATCCTCTTTTAGCTGATTCTTATAGAAATTCTTATAGAAATCTATTTGGCATATTTAAAGCTTGTAGCGTTTATGTTCTGTAGTAGCATTTTGATAACAATTTAAAAATAAAATTTAAAATATTTTAATAAGTAAAGCATACCTATTACTCTGTTCAAGAATTTCTTCTTGATAGAAATGTAATTGAGAAATATTGACTCATAATCGAGATAGGTATAATGTTACGTTAATAAAATAAATAAAATGTAACTCGATATTTAAAAGAGCAACCGTTGAGTTTCTTGCCGGCTCTTCTTAGCAGTACTGCTTTCCGACCCGGTGGTAGCTTCCTCAGGGACTAACTACGTTGACGCTCTTTAAATGAAAATAACGATTTGAATAAAGTTTAATTTCATCTCTTTTATAGTAGTAAGCATAATCAGTTAAACCATAAAGAAGATTATAATATACGAGTATATATATATATATATATATATATATATATATATATATATATATATATATAATATATATATATATATATAATGAAGAAAAATGGAGAGAAATATTGCAGCGTTCCCAAAGAGGTAGATGCTAGAAAAAAGCAAAATAGTTGTATAGTAAATAAATAAAAATAAATTGATCGGCTCGGCAACAAACAATAAAAATTTCCTCAGTCATTACTATTTCTACACACTCTTATCGTAGAGTTTCCAGGAAAGGAATAATGCCGGCGCTAACGCGATAAATCTTCATGAATGAACTCACAACAAGACAGGATGAGTATAGGGCGTAAGTGATAAAAGCTCACTTTGTTTTATAAATGTTCTTGACTCTTGTAAATACCTTAGCGAAAGTTTAGACTGATGGATGTTTATTAGTCAATCTCGCTATAACGGCTGAACGGATCCGGATGAAATTTAGCACAGTGATAGATTATAGTCTGGAATAGCACATAGGTTATTTTCTATCCCGAAAAAATGTACGGTTCCCGTGAGATACATTTGTTTTTCACTAGAGACGAACCCGAGCAAAGCGAGGCCAACCGCTAGTATTACTATAAATATGGAAGTATGAATTACAAAGCCCCAGGTAGTTAGTTATTTGAGTACAAGTAGAGAATAATAAATCAAACTTAAGCTCCTTTTTTTACCTTAGTGCTTTTTCAAACGACAAATCACCTTGAGACTCTCTAAGATTTGTATATATGTGTAGATAAAATACATATTTTCGGGTTATAAGTAAAGTGTGTATTTTATACCAATCACAAATTAAAAGTCAATAATTCTGTATTAAAATCTCTTTCGGTAAATTGGTCACTTGAACAAATAAACAATGAGACAACGCATTGTTATCAAATTTATTATTTGCTATAAAATATTATGATTGTTACATAGAGTGAATTAAGAGTAATAGTCCAATCAAAAATAATATAATATACAAAAAATTTAGACCGAGAAGGACACGCACTAAAAAATATAAATGTAAGGACAGTATCAATCCCCGCGAGGGCCAAGAACGTAAAAAGGTTTTTATGTTAATTTTAACGTTTATATATATATATTGGCTTAAGAATTGCGTTAAAAGACGCAATACAATTTGCCAGTGTCACGTTTTGTGAGGAAGACACGAATGAGTTTGAGCGGTATATTTTTTCGAGCTATTCTGAGGTTGACAATTCAATGTCCTCCATAGATAATTTCAAAAAACTTTAATCAGGCTTAAAACATATATTCAAACTTTATATGCTTACTAGCAACTCACCCTCGCTCCGCTCGGGTTCGTTTCTGGTTACGTTTTAACGTTTAGTATAGATTTCTCAGAGATGAGATATTTTCCGATAGTAAAAAGTATCCTATATATTGACCCGGATAACCAGCTATTATCATACCAAATTTCATCAAAATTCCTCCAGTGGCTTTTTCGTGATGCGGTAACAGACAGACAGACAGACAAAAATTCTAAAAACTATAGATTCGGCCTCAGTATCGATAATAATGTCTATTTCAATAAGATTTTCCAAAAAATATTTAATGTACAAATTCGGCTTAGTTACAATTTTATTATATGTATAGACTACCTATAAAATATTTAAGTCTGGGACGTCATTTCAAGAATAAGGTTATTTTAAAAATATAATATTTAAGTTTATTTATTTATATACTTATAGTATTAATCTAGTTAAAATACTTGAGATAAGATTTATTTGTGTAAATTTTTATCTGTGGGATATAATCAATATATTACAAAAATAGATAAATTACTAAAACTTTGTTTATGTGAAATAGGAAGACAGCTCGCCGGCGCCCGAATGGCCCACCTATTAAAGTCACATTGTCTGATTTGCAATTACTTTAAATAAACACGTCATTTGGACATATTTATTCAAACTGCGACATATTTATTAATATTATATGTGCCTCCCAATTTCACATTGAGATAGCGCCAGTATCTGTCATGTTGAAGGTAAATATACAAATAAAATAAAAAAAGTTTTGTAAAATATAAAGTAAATTCTTTAAAAATATATGTTTCAGCAAATTAGGCCCTAACTAGAACAGAACAACATAAACCTTATATAATATGTATTGACAATAAATTTTATTTACCTATTCAAATGAAGGCGCAAACGACAGTTCGACACTTGGCGACACCCTTCCATAATTTATTGGCGCTCTTCACTTGCTATTTCCCATATATTTTATATCTTTCTATTTTATCTTTCAATTATAATTTCGAGGAAATTATTATTTTACAATACATGAAAATGTTTAAAGCACTCATAAATAATATATAATAATATTAAATATATACTGTTAATTTGCATTTAATTTTCAGTTTTTACATTGTAACGAATAACAAAAAATCTCCGAATAAGAAAACTTACAAATGACAAAACATAATTTTTGTAGCACAAATAAAATTCGGAAATGGAATGAGTCATTGAGAAATAAACACCAAAACAATAGGTAAGATTAGACATAGACGTGTCGAGCATTCACCATGTCTATGATGTCCAGATTCCCATAACGGTTGGAGAACACTGCCGAATCGTATAATAAGATTGTAGCATGCGCTGGCGCAGGCTTCGTGTCCTGAATCCTAATGAGACGGGCCAGACTTGAGTATATAACGACGACGTCTGCCTTCTTCCAACAATAGCTCGATAGTTTTAAACCACACAACACCCTTCAAATTTAAGGGAGATCAAGTGCAAGTGTGAAAATGAAGATTCTTTGCGTGCTCGTCCTAGCAAGTGCTTTGTGGGAAGCTAAAGGATATCCCTATCCTTATCCCTACTATGGAACTAATATGGATTCAAGTGAGTCTTCAGGATTTCAGATTTACTTAGATAAGTTGAAGGGTGCAATTAAATATTGAAATACCTATGGAATGCTCTTAATAAAAATTATTTAACAACTTATGTTATTAATAGCTAGAAAAACAAAAACAAATCTATCCTAAGTACATTTTTTCGAGATAAAATGTAACCTATATGCTATTCCAGACTGTAATCTATCTCTGTGGCAAATTTCATCCAGATCCATCCAGCCGTTCTGCCGTGATTGAGTAATAAACATCCATCAAAACATCCAAACATCTAAACTTTCACATTTATAATATTAAGTATAGATAAAAATATAAATTATATTATTATAAAAATATAAATAATACTATAGATTTATGTTACCACATCTTTTAAATTAAACTTATAATTATTTAAAAAATAAAAGGCTCATTATAAGTAAATTGTTTCATAATCTTCCTTTTTTTCCTACAGTCTCGTACGGCTCTGTAGACAGTAGCCGTGGAGGTATGGCGTTGAGTCGTTATTACAACCCTTATTACAACCCACGTAGTATTGGAGCAGGCTTGGCTGCGTTCATGTTTAAGCCTGAAGAACAGTACCAACCGCAAACTAGCCAGTACTACTTACCTGACAGAAGGCGCCAAACTCAGCCTGAGTTGAACTACCAACCACAGCAGAATGAAATCTTCTACCCCCAAGGGCTTGAACAATCCGAGCCCTTACCTGATCAGCCAGCACTGTCTGAACAGCCTATTCTTCCTGAAAAGCCCGTAGCATTGCCAGAGCTGCCTGCGGTCACTGAACCAGCTGACATCGCCGAACCTACAGAAAAAACTGAATTAATAACATCTACAATCAAATCCGTCGCTGTTCCTGAATTAACAGAAACAGAACCTGAATCTGAGGATGTGCCAAAACCTACTCCTAAAAGACGGGTTACAAAAAAAAAGCAAGTTAAGAGACCTGTTGATGAAGATGACGAGGAAGATGATGATTTCTCACCCCCCAGGATGCCAACTGGTGCCTTCTTCCCAATGTTTTTCGGATGGGGTGGCAGATCCGCCGGAGCTCCTAGTGGTGGTGCGACTGCTATCGCCAACGCTTTCAGCACAGGTCGCGGTGGTGTAGCCACTAGCCACGCGACGGCATACGGACCCCCAAGACCCGATTCAAAGCTGTAAACATGTAGATATATTTAAAAAAGATTTTATTATTAAATCTATAAGAATTGGTTATCCACGCCATCTAGCGGGTAAGCTTTGATTTAGATCTAAGTAAAGCTCTGATGGCATGAATCTAAGTTCAAATATTTGTTGCCATAAGTTCAACTTAGTGATAATAGATGGCGTAATACTAATTTTATAAATGTTTTAATTAATATATGTATAATATTAGTTGTTAAAACATCATTTTGTGATAAAAATGTAATTGGTATATTTTTTTTTCACAGTTTTTGTTATGAGCAATAAATTGGATTTTCTAATAAGTGTTATTATTTAAGCTCACACCATATACTAAAATGTTGCTACTAAGCATATTATAATATATTGTATATTGTCTGAACTATATGTTAAAATATTATTTATATCTAACAAATCCAAACACATATCTGTCACTAATGTAACATACTAGAGAAAAAGAAAACACAAACAAATTTATAACACGGGAACCACACGTAAAAAAATCCGGGATAAAAATTCCAGACTATCTATCTCTGTGCCAAATTTCATCCAGATCCGTTTAGTCGTTCTGGCGTGATTGAGTAACAAACATCCATCATTCCAAACTTTCCCATTTATATTGTAGTAAAATGGGATCTAAGTAAAAAAGTTATAGAACCACATTTGCTAAACCAGAGACCGCAATTTCGATATTTACAATACTTAATTATTGCTTACTTATACAAGAATACTAAGTAACTTCTATACCACGGTAGTGATATATCCATTCTTAATATTATAAATGTGAAAATGTTTTTGTTTTTTTTTATATGGGACTAAGGGGGCAAACGGGCAGGAGGCTCAACTGATGGAAAGTGATCACCGCCGCCCATGGACATCTACAACACCGCAGGGCTTGCAGATTTGTTTGTTTGTTTGTTTGTCTTTCTTTCACGTCGAAACGGGGTGACGGATAGACGTGATTTTTTGTGTGGAGATAGTTGAAGGGCTGGAGAGTGACATAGGCTACTTTTTATCATTGGAGAAAATCTCATTTCTACGGGAAAAATTATTTATGATCAGAAATACTTGAAACTTGGTATTAATGCTCTTCAATACAATTAAATAAATATGTGTTTTAGCATTTTTCGAAATTCATCTCATAAGGGGGTAAAATAGGGGGTGAAAGTTTGTATGAAACCAATTTTTTAGTTTTTCTGCAGTTTTAGCGCGAGCGAAGCCGCGGGTTCTGCTAGTTGTTAATAAAAATTAATTATCAGTATCTAATATCTATTCACTCATACCCACAAAAATCATAAAACCAAATCATCATATACTAAATTCACTTAAATATATACATTAAAATTAATATTGCAGGACTAAGGACGAGGTTTATAAGAAAATTCCACGTACATACTGTTAATTATGTTACATTTCAATACAATAAAGTTAATTTAACTCTGCAATTATTATGGGTCGAGCGTACAAAGGAAACTTAATGAGGACATTGACTTTAGTAGAAAAAAGTTGTGCTGGTAAAAATGTATCTTTTTTATTAATTTTGATACACTAGCGCTATATTATGTGTGTTTACACATCATCATAATAATGTCACGTTAAAAATATAGATTATATACATAACACGCATCATCCCACAAGTCTTATGTTATATTGTAATACTAGCGACTCACCCTCGCTCCGCTTGGGCTCGTCGCTATTTATGTTTTAACGTATAGCTCAGAGATGATATATTTTCCCGCAGTAAAAAGTATCCTATATGTTGACCCGGATAATTAGCTATCATCATACCAAATTTCATCAAAATCTGCCCAGTGGTTTTTTAGTGATGCGGTAAAAAACAGACAGACAAAAATTCTAAAAACTATAGATTCGGCCTCTATATCGATAGTAATGTCTATTTCATAAGATTTTCCAAAAAATATTTTATTATATGTACTTATAGATTTTGTGAAGATATTATGTAGTATTTAATGTACCTAAATTGTACCTATCTTTATATATATAATTCTTCTGTGAGTGTGTATGTCACTGAACTTCTCTCAAACGACTGGACCGATTTTGATGAAATTTTTTGTGTGTGTTCAAGGGGATCTGGGAATGGTTTAGATTCACAATTTTGTCCGCTGGACAGTTTTTTTAATTAATTTTTAATTTATTAGTAGTTGTTGATTTTGGAATGTTTTACATTGGATCCGACAGACGGCGCTACCATCGCAGTGTCAAATTTTAAATAATATTCGAATTTTAATTTTAGTCTGTCCCGACAGTTAGCGCTGCGATCAAATTAAAAAAAAGTTTTGTTATCATTGTAGACAGGACAACGTCTGTCGGGTCCGCTAGTATCTAATAAAATATGATGAAGGTATTATGTATGTATAATATATATGTTATAAAATATCCTTTTTATATACAAGCAAGAAGCGATCCATAAGTGTTTATTTACCTAATAAATATGAATTAAATACTAATATTAAGTACTAATACTAAGTAATGACTAATGTCTATACTAAAATCAATCTATATTCTATACTAATATTATAAACAGAAAAGATTTTTGCTTGTTTGTTTGTTTATACCGAATAAGCTCCGAAACTACTGAACGGATTTAGATGAAATTTGGTAAGAATATAGTTTGAGACCCTGGAAAGGACAAGGACACAGGATAGTTTTCATACCGGAAATCATTCCTTAAGGGGATAAAAATAGGGATAAATATGTACGGGGAAGCAATCTAGGGACGAAGTCGAGACGAAGATGAGTCGCTAGTAATTACTGAAGGCAAAATGTAATTATTAATGAAAAAATATTAAAATCGACTCACAATCAGGCTTTGATATTGCCTAGCATACAAAAAAACATACGGTCGAATTTAGTCGAACTCCTCTTTTTTGAACTCTGTCAAAATGCTGCAAACTAGTAGGTACTCAAACTAAACGTGACGATAAGAACCGCTACTTAGCCGTAGATAATGTCTAGACTCTACAAAATCGACTCTCGTTCGATGTTTGGTTTTTAAGTAATGTCGCTTATCTAAAATTACGTTAAATTACATCAATAATCTGTAAAAAATGATCAAAATCTCGTTATGAACAAAGAGATCGGAAATATCTTAAATTAAATAATAAATTAAATGGGGCTCCCATTTTGCTAAGGCAGTGGTAGCCCAGTGGCAGCGCGCTTACTTGGAAAACGAAGTGAATCAGGTACAAATCCCGGGTATTGTACCTTTGATATTCTCGATTCATTTTTAACATAATTATCATTTGTCTTACGGGGAAGGAAAACATCGTTAGAAAACTGTACGTTTTGGACTATGGTCTGATCCCCCTTGCATTAAGAAGAGACCTGTGTTTAGCAGTAGGACGTTAAAAAGGGCTGAATATGTGACATGCTCATATTTTGAATTTATTTAGATGAATTATGGCATAGAATTGCCATAACCATAAGGTGGATTCCAATAAAAAATCTATCAATTTTTTTCCTTAGTAGCAATAGGAATTTGACATAATTTGTATGGAGCTTATGTCAAATTTATCCCTCTAGTTAAGCAAATTTTAAATATATTATAAATGGGGCCTATTTGATGGATCCAGAAAGGCTTGATAGGTTTAGAAACTTCTTGATGACTAACACCGCCAAAGAGTGGAAAAAGATGTGAAAAGTAAAAAATATGTATAAACACAAGTTAAAAACGTACCAACCTTATATGTATTTTTTTTTATTTACAGAATATCAGTCTGAATAGCACGAGTTAAGTGTATAATATATATTTCATATATAACCTAAACTTTTTGCCTGGATATAAACAGAAATGTACGTCTTCAAATGAAATCCTTTATTTCTTCAAATTGTACTTAGATTAAAATCTTGACCTTTTTGTATTCAAGCAACATTTACAAAATATGAATGGTATTCCCGGTGAGAAACAAAAACTTTTTAAAATCAACTGAGTGCATTAAAGTGCATAAGACAAGATACTTCATTACGTTCTTAACCTCTATTTGTCAAGCGATTTTTTTTGTTGATAAGTTATTGATATAAGATATTGATATAATGGTGAAATTTCAACTAGTTATAATAAACATCTAGCTCGTTTAATATAGAATTCAAGCGCATGAAATTTGTTATAGCTTATATAATACACGAACAACCAGCTATCATCATACCAAATTTCATGAAAATCTGTCCAGTGACATTCCCAGACTGACAAAAATTCTAAAAACTATAGATTCGGCCTCTGTATCGATAATAATGACGATTTCAATAAGATTTTCAAAAAAATATTTAATGTACATATTTAATGTATATAGTACATTGCAGTTTTTGTATTTTTTTCAAAAATGAGACATTTTCCCGCGGTATTTAATGTATTTAAGGTATTTAATGTACAGATTCGACTTAGTTACAATTTTATTATATGTATAGTTGATAACGTTAGTTTATTTACTTCCATATCGACCCTTGCCCTTGTGAAATAAATGGCTTCTTATCACCAGGGAAATAAATGACGCGTGGTAAATTAAATGTTCGGTATGTCAATAATAGTCTGTAGTAGCAGTTTTATAATACTTTTACGAAAGCAGTTACAATGAACTGTTGAATTCGGAATCAAAAATTCAAAATTTAGTAGAATAAGTTAAAATAACTAATTTTAATTCTTCGACTAAATTTTGAATTCAATTCAATTTTCTTGTGGCTTCAAAGCGTGCCTGTTAAGCACAGGTTACTTCCAATGTCAAGTAGAATGGAGAAGATGGTGTTATAATAATAATACTTCAGTTATAGATTGCTCAGATCACGGCGAGTGTAGGTACCTACTATTACATATGGCTTGGCACCGACTTCAAACCTATCAGTAGGTAGCACATACAAATAATAGTATTTTATTAATATTAAAGGTATTAGGTTTGCATAAGAGTTGTATTAAATTAAATCTTTATTCTATCTTTAATCTAAATCTCATACTCTTTAGTTTTTGAAGTCGGTTATTTAAATGT